TTAATGAGGAAACCAGAGTGTCTGTCAGTAGGAGGAAGGAATTTGCGTTGCACAAAATGAACTTGAGATCTGTGTGAGGAGGATATTGAGTGGATGACATCTGTTTTGCAAATTAAGACGGAGCCCCAGCCCTTCTCACACAGATATTATTTTCTTGTGTCGGACGTTTCTAATGCCAGAGTGTGCATTCTTCACAAACCTCTGTGTCTGCTGCGCGCAGAGAGGGAAGTTAGCCGTTTGTCTTCACCGGCTACTGTGTTTCAGCTATTATAAAAAGCTTATTTATAGCATATTTTCTACACTTGGTTCTTCCTTGAATATGCCACTCTAAGACTGTTGTTTTATTTTATTTTTTTAAAATGGTAACTCAGCCCTCTATAATCACTAAAATGTTCTTTTACACACAAATCATTATATTTAATTGATTCCAAACTAAAACCAAACAACTGTGATTTGCGCACAAATGAAGGAGACCATCGTGACCGACATGCTGCAAAGGTTATGTGTAATATGAATGATGCACCTAGGGTTCAGATTTAAATAAATCCACCTAAAATCCAGATTAAAAAGACGATTGTGCTGTAATGTTTTATGCATTTCCCTTTTCCCTCGCTTACATTTTGGCTTTAAGTCGCACTACTACTTCCCCTCTCTCTCCCCCCACAGCTACATTTGGCAGCCCACCGGGGATTTTCAAAGCTGTCTGAGCCTCTGGAGGCTTTGCTGACAATCCTGGAGGGCTGTCCGGGCAGACAGAAGGGTCGGAGCCACACCCTCGGCCATCACATCCTCGTGGAATTCCTGACGTGGATGAAGGAGCATCCTCAGGTAAACGAGATTCACAAACCAAACCCTTTTTTAAATCAAAGAAATGTACCGCAGACCTCTACTGCAGCACTTCTACAGCACAAGTCCAACCTGCTTCAGCAGTTTAATACAGTTTAGTTTTTTTCCCCAGGTGACTCTGAGCTCACTCTTAGAGCAGCAAGCACTGGCACTTCAGCAGCGAGCGCTGACCTTAACGACGGATACCCAGCCCGCCTTTGTCGACAATCTCACTAACATCTACCAGCTCGACTCCCTGGATCCAGCCATTCTCCGATCGAACATCATGAGGTTGCACGCTCTTCACTGCTACAAAGAGGTGAGTTCCTCGTTTTGATGTTTTCAGACAAAAAACATCCGACACTGCGCTGATTTATTCTTTCTGTTCTTCACAGGCAGCGGTGCTCAGCGTAAAGCTGAAGTTACAGAAAGAGCTGAACATGGAGGAGGTGAGACCAAACATTTGTCTGTGCAACCTTCAATCATAAGCAGTGAATAGATAAGCCTACTTCAGACATGTCTCGACAAATCTCTAACCAACTTTCCCAAATTGTCATCTTCAATCTTCTTCTACAGATGTGTGTACCACTAATCTTGCAAAATAAGTTGCCGTTGGCAGAGTCCTTCGTCGCGGGCAACAATCATCTAGAACAGCAATTGGTCACACTGCTAGACTCGTGGTGCCACCCCAGCTTCACCGAGGAAGAGATACACAAGTATGGCTCGTGTGTCGGGAACGTATGGGAACCTGCAGTGTGTCTGTAAGCACCAGCGTGTCGCTGTGTGAACTCATACGGTTGTCTCTGCTTGTGTGTATCCCACAGGCGGTACCCTCACATCTCTGTAAGCAAACAGTGCTTGAGCCAGATGCAGCCCAAATTGCTCGCCAAACACGTCTTCCGACTCGTGGAGAAATTCAACATTGACCAAGGTGTGTGACTGGGCCCCGAGTGGAAGGGTTCATTTGTGGGCGTGCGCCTCGGGCAGGAAATGATTGTGGTCTTGTCTCTTCGACTCAGGTCTGTGTCCCAATGCTCTGCACAAGAGGAGGTTGGACTCTTTACGTTTCCTCATGTACAAGAGGTTTGTGGAGGCAAGTGATGAATATTATATTTCATTTAAGCATCATGATGTATGTCAGAACAGGCTTCTCATCAGGGACATGCGTTTTTAGCTAGTACAAATGAATGACAATAACAGTGATACTTTTGAGATGGAAGACAGACGTCCCTTATTGTTTTGTGTCCATCATACACTCTCTTCACACTTTCTTTATAACAGATGCACTTCAGTATTGCATCCTACAGTTGAAACAAAATGTGCAAATGAATGTGGTTTTTTTTATACTACACCAATATGTCTCTTTAGTTTGATTTCAAGATTGTCCTCTTAACTTTAAAAGCAGTTTATGATCTGTCAGACTAGTCCTTGGGATAATATGTGATGTCATGGTGTGCAGGATAGGATAGGATAGCAGGCATTAGAGGTTTTCGTATAGAATTATGTTTTGGCCCAGTTTTGTGCGTGACAGAGAAAAAGTAATTAGCATCAAGTATTTACTTACCTAACAGTACTTATCAGTAAATACATGTTCCAGGCACTTTAACAAGAGTTCGCTGTAAAAACAAAATGATTTGATGAATGAAGTCTGTCAAACGTGTTGAGCAAGGACTTGTGGAAACAGACATGAACAATTACCCAATTTACCCATTGATGACCTAACTGCTGGGCAGAACTGGCAATGTCTGTCTGTTTGTTTATTTCAACAATGTCACGGTATGGAAAAGACAATACTGGAGCCAGATTACCCAGTTATATAATTACGTAATGATACCCATTGTGTACTTATCATTTATTTGTGTTTTGTACTCAATTTTCATTTTAGAAAAGCATGACAGATGAGAACTGGAGTGACCATGTACAGGTATGTATGTGTTGTACTTTACTGTACTGTATGTATGTGTATAGGATGTGTTTTATGTGTGTATATAATGTATTCATAGTACGTCGTGGCAGATGACTTTGAGCTGCAGATCCAGTTGGTGGAGATGTTGGTGAGGTACTGTAGTTTTCACAAAGCCTCTCAGTGGTCTCTGAGATACAACGTCCCCAGAGATCGACTTCCCTGCGGCGTGTGGGAAACGCAGCAGAGTCTACCGCCTGATCTACAGTGAGTAGACTAAGATTATGCATAAACATATCCTGTTATGAAACAGCCTCAGAGTTTTCATCCCCAACGTCTAATCTGGTTTTGTTCGCCACATCCATTTCACTTCACTCTGTTGTCTTTCTCTGTATCTCTTATGTTATCGAGCCACTTTCATTCTGCATTGGCTGATGTTGCCTTTTTCTTTCTCCGCCTCTTCTTAATGTGCACACTCACGAAAACACACGCACGTGTGTCGCCTCTGCTCAGACAGATCGGTCCGAGTGGTTCGGCAAAGCCTGAGGAGTGGAGACCGTCTCGCTCTCACTGCAAGACGTTCTACCAGGTGCCGCTCACCAAAGACAAGGTTCATTTTGTGGACTCGCCGGAAACTCTTCGGAGATGTCGAAACATTGTGCTGAAGGTACAGAGAAGCAAATGTTTTTGTTTTCATAACTTGTTTTCAACCATTAATGAAAATCTAAATATCCAGTGGATAGCAAATTGAAAACATGTATTGTGAATCACCTTTTTTATTTTTTGCTGCTGTCTTATCTGTCCCTGTCTTTATCCTTTCTTAGGAGGGTGGTATAGTCGGAGTTGACATGGAGTGGCAGCCCACGTTTGGCTGCATCTCCACTCAGCAGGTTGCCCTGATACAGCTTGCCGTTTTGGACCAGGTTTTCTTAGTAGACCTTTGTGCAAGTGGATTCTGCCAACACCCAGATACTATTCTTTTCATCAGGAGCTTGTTCGCCCAAAGAAACATCCTCAAACTGGGTAAGAAGAGACTTGACCAAGGTCAAGTCTCATCTAAGTATTTGTGTTTATACTTCTGTCTCTAACATTTCTCCTTTCTTCCCTCTCAGGTTATGGCATGTCGGGGGATCTCAAGTGTCTCATAGCCACCTGGCAGCAGCTTTTAGAGGAGCCATTGAAGATGGAGGCCGTGCTTGATCTTCTTAATGTACACCAAAAGGTAACATTCACATACTTCGAAACTGAATCCTGCAGTTGGTCTTATAGTAATAATAGAAAAGACGCTATTAGAGCGTCATGCTTCTTTACTTAGTAGGAGTGTAATGTTGAATTCTGGTCTTGATTCGTTAGATTGGTGTCTAAATTAATTCAAATATATATTTTTAAGACAGCAAAATTGGGTGCCTGACAATTGGCTTTGCGTGTATTTCCATAGCATAAAAATATTTTGTAGCGGGGATACAGGACCTGAGGATTGTAACATTTGGGTCTGTGTTTCATTGCATGGTCATAACTCAGGTACATGCTGCAGCTGTGGCCCTGTAGTCTGCCCGAGACATATGTAGCTATACGCTCGCGGTCTCTGTGGTGGACCGGAATGTGGAAATGGCAACATGGGTCTGTAACTGATGAAGCTGCTTCACCATCTGCTGGAGTAAGGCTGCATGTTGCAGGATGTGAGGAATCCAAGAAATGTTTTTGAACGTCACAAGGAATGTCCGGTAGAAACAGGATGTTGCGGCGGAACATAAAATGGGAGGGACTGTTAAATAGTTCAGAAATGTATTTCCTGGGGCCTTGCATTGTCTAAAAGTCCAGGTAATTTCAAGTGAACAGAGTTGACACTAAACTACACCATTTAATTCTCACTTTAATGCCTTTTGCAGATCCAGCGTCGAAAGGTCAATCGGACTCAAAATGGACCTAAAGAGGTGCTGGTAGGAAAGAACTCTGCGGAGAAAGGCCTCAGTCTGCTGGTACAGCAGGTTCTGGGAAGGCCCCTCGACAAGACCGAGCAGATGTCCCACTGGGAGAAACGGCCGCTGCGCATCAGCCAAATTAGATATGCAGGTAAGATTTTATGCATGCGCACACAGACAATGACAGGGAGACAGATGGTCGCAGTTCTTTTCATCGTAGAATACCACCGATTATTTTGTCATTCATGGACGCACTGCAAACCATTAAATTCACCCCCCTTTTCCTCTCTGTCGCTCGTGTTTCTTAACCTCCTCCTAGTGGCAGATGCCTGCTGTTTGCTGGATGTGTACTCTGCCCTCTCCAGCAACCCAGCTTACTTTGGGCTACCAGCTGACCTGCGCAGCATCTCATCGAGCCAATCGGAGGACAGTGGAGACAAGAAGCAGAAGGAGAAACGGGCCCATGGCAAAGAGGTCAGGAGGCAATTACTATTTCTCCATGAATAGTGATTTTATTTTATGAGGTTTTAATTGATACCGAATGCGTTGAGGTCTAAGATGTTAAGATGAATGAATCTTCAAGGAGGCCAATATTTCGACTTTTAGATACGGAAAGGTTGAAATCAAGAGGTAGACATTCCATTAATGAGGTTGTAGAAGCCAGAATCCTTAAACTACTTGATCAATTCTTGGCCCTGAATTTGACACGTTTGACTAGTGTAATATCGTGGTCCTCTCACATTTCTGTACACATTCCTGGGAACTTGCTATGAATAAACTAAGAAACTGAGGGGGGGGGGGGGGGAGCAGGTAACTTTAGGAGGGCCTTTATTTCAGAGTGACATTTTCGCTAAAAGTTACTTAACTGCAAATTAAAGACGGTGTGTATGAGATTTCTCCTTTCATGTGCCAAATTTGAGTACTTTTCTGTCCTTTGAACATTCAGTCAGCAGAACATTGTCAGGATTGTTATTTCTGATGTGTGTTTAACTTTTACAGACCGCAATGATTTAGCTGCAACCAATTATTCATTTGAATAACTATCGTGATATTACATTTAACAATCTTAAGAGCTTTGAGCTTTCACGTGGCACAATAAAACACAGAAAACAACTGAAGTACTTGGATTTGAGCATCCAACCTGCAGGGAGGGACAATACGTGTTTGACCGAGACACTTCAGCGGCTTCTATCAGCTCCAGGGGTGCAGTTGTATGGCTCCCACTGTGCTTTGACCTCCCCGCACTGTGGTGCAAGTGAAAAGAAAATCCCCTTTGGGGATCAGTTAAGTATCACATTATTGTCTCTGTCCATTTAGGAATGTCAGGGGGCTCAAAGGGTCAGTCCCCCCAGCTCCAACACAGAGAAAGGCCTCCTGTGTGGCGAGAAGCCCTCAGAAGACACCCCCCCTCTGCCCCCCCAGCAGTTGCGGGTGGTGTGCGACAACATGCTGCAGGGACTCGGGAGGTACCTGCGCTGTTTAGGCGTCGATGTGATCATGTTGGAGAACACCGACGATCACAGAGTTGCGGCAAAGGTTAGTTCAGCGGTCCGAGCTGAAGACACGCATATCTGTTTTTTATACACATTAAACACAAGAACAACTCAAACAATAGAGCCATATTTCAGATAACCAATAATACAAGTTTTGCATTTCTGTATTTGTTGTGTGTCAGTTAGCACAAGCCGAAGGCCGCTTCATTCTCACATGTGGACAACCGTTCCAAAGTGTAAGTGCTAACTAATGTGAAGTCATGAACAATCTCAAATCTACAAGTGCGTGTGTGTTCCTTGTTTGCTTGTATACACGTGTTGCCTCTGTCTCCCCACGTAGTTGCGGTCCCAGGTAGGCGAGGGTCGCTGTCTGTCCCTAGACTGTTCAGAAAGGGCCAGAGATCAGGTTGTGCGAGTCCTCAGACACTTCAACGTGCAGCTCACTCCCAGCGACATATTCAGCCGCTGCCAGGTAAGAGTATTCACGCTGGTCCTGAATGTATTTTTGAAATGAACTGTGTAAAAACTTCAGTATCGGCTGAGTGGTTACTACTTATTGAAGTAATACCAGTGATTATCAAAGCCTACAAATGGGGGAAAACTGAGTACAGAGAGTCACAAGTTCACCAGCCAAAGACAAAACGGCACATACATATTTTCACAATAATTCCCACATTTTACATTGCATGGGCTACATTTCTGTTTTAAGCATTGAGCTGATACTTTTATACACAACGACTTTCAATGAGGAAGAAGAGAAGAAAGTTTAAGTTCCTATATCGGTGAGAAGTACAAGCGATAAGAATACCAAGCGATATTTCTGTGGTTAAAAACGCTGCTGAGCTTTTTAACTTCCTGATTTCTGAGAAAAAAGATTGTGGTGGTTGTGGTGTTTTGTGTAATACTGACAAAAAGGGGAAGACATAAATATATGATCAGGGGAAAAGGGGAAGAGGGGCTTTTTCAAAAAAAAAAGCAACCTTACTTTTTAAAGTTACTTTGTAAAGTTACTTTGTAAACTTCCTGTTGAAGGTGGCCTGTTGAGGCTGTGTGGTATTCTTGGCATGGCCAGACCCTGGGGGCTAATGCAGGAAACACTGAAAGGGATTGCATGTCCCATATGGCCTTAGAATGCCCCGGGGACCCCAGGAGGAGGAGGTCTTGGTTACGTTGTTTAGCCTGCTGCCACCACCACAACCTGCACTTGTGCAAGTAGTGTAAAAATGAAGGATAGATGGCTGAATGGATGAGAACATCAACAGAATGAGAGGGCAGAATAAAACGCAATTTATTTCTCTAATATAGAGATTTTTTATTGTCATATCCTTCTTTCCTCAATTACAGAAACATTGTTACTTGTGTATACGGATACACGTGCAATACACTGCATTATTCTAATTCCTATTTGATGATGTTTATGGGGCCTGGAGTTCGTTAGTCCGCTTGTTGCCACCAATCATTGACGAATTTACCTGACCTGTAGATATCTCCATGGGTGGCTGTTTGGGGAAACCTGTGTGTGCTGTGACGTTTGTGTGTCCGCGGCGGAAGGTTGTGATTGGGAGGGTGGGGTTGTATCATTTGCAGGACAGCTTCTAAACTTGGGTGTTCTTACTGCTCCTTTTGGGGGGGCTCTAAATGTGTCTAGATGCACCACTGGGTGCTCAAAATGTAAAATAAACCTGGCCCTTCCTTGATGCTACCTCCTGTCCCGATGACGCAAACACATACACGGTGGCCAAATGGTCTTCCGCCTTTCCTATTTATTGGTCACTCCTGACGCCACTTCAAGGCAAAGTCACTTTGATATATTATGGCCAAATGTGACGTTAGTGTTACACACAAACCTGAAAAACCTTTTGTCGTAGCGTGAAGGTACTATTTTACAACCTCAAGGAGGTCATAACGTTCACTGCAAGAATGATTAATGGAGATGACAGAGAACTGAATAAGGACCTATTTTATACCTTTCCATTAATCCTTGATCATTTTCTGGAATTCGATTTTTGAAGATTCTCTAAAAATGACCAACAATAGATGAGGTTATGAAATACGATGTGCGGTTCATATTAAAACTGAGTTAGATTGTGTGTGTGCGTGTGTGTGTGTGTGTGTGTGTGTGTGTGTTAGAGACAAGGTTTCACCCTGGGGGCTGCTCTGCGGCCCACCCAGGCAAAGTTAACCCCTTTGTTGTCTGATTGTAAAGCTCTCTGATTAGCATTGGATGGGTTAGTTTCTCTCCCTTTGTCTCCGTGTTCCTCCCTCATGCATGTACACCACTGATCAATGTCATGAGGAACGAGAAGCAAAAAAGAAAAAGACGGGGAAGAGGAGATTAACCACAGACTTGTGTACGTGTGTGTAAAGGTTGGGCAGGGATAGGGTTAATGTTTGTCTCTGTATCAATAGGCACAACAGAGATTTTATAGGCAGAGAAATGTGTGTCCACTGTGGAGACCCCGAAAAGGGAGATGGAGAAAGGCCTCCTGTTTAAGTGTGTCCTTGTCTGCATACTTGCATGTACTTGCGTACAATAGGGTGGTAAAAAACAAAAGAAACACTGCAGTTTTTTTATGATGCAATCAAAGGATTCAATCTCTATTTATGGTGTTTTATGGATTTGTGTGCGTTTGGTTTATGATCAGTGTTTCTCTGAGAGTACCCGACTCCAGAAAACAGAGATGTTCTTTTAAAAATTATTTTAACTAAATTGAAAAACATATTTATTTGTGTATTCACTCTAAAAGAGGAAGAATCATCTTAACTTTAAAGCCACGTCTGCCTGTAAAATTGGATTCGGTCATTTATTTAAAGGCCCATTGTAAACTAGCTCAGGCTATAAGTGATGCGGTGTATGCCGTTGTTCTGTGCCCTATACTGTTCATGTCCATATACAAATAAATAATAATTCAAAATAATAGTTATTTTGAAATAATAAACATTTGTAGTTTACTCACAATGTATCAATTCTTAAAAAATGCCTGAAAAATTTATTTAAAAAAGTGTATAAAGATACAGTGACTTGTGTCACTGTATTTAATTCTTATTCTGTAATCTTTACATTTCATCCGTGTGGATTCCTGCAAGGGGTTGGGTAACAGGGTAGAGTTATTTAGGCTATTGGTCCATTACAGAGTCCTTATTCAGCTATATCCTTTCCTACACTAATGCCTGCTGCATCTATACTTTCCATGAACACAAACACACACACACTTCCGTTGGGCTTCCGTTCCACAGTTCCATCAGATGTCCCACACTGGCCTTTTATAGATATGTTGAGATAGCAGAGATATCCTGAGAGATAGACATGAAGCCAGCCAAACACACACACGCTCACACATACAGTATATAGTGATAGCTAAACGCTCAAAAACCCCAAACTTATCAACACCATCATTAACACACACACACACAGTGTCACCTCAGTACCTTTACACACACACACAGAGACTCGTCACAGATGCGCACACACACTCGGAATCAGTCGTAGACACCATTGCAGCAGAAACGCTTGTTCCCACGCACCAGACTACTGGGGAAGTGAAAACAAGAGCAACAGGAACCGCCACACCATGAGAGGGAGGGGTGGGAGCGATGAGGGGTGCTAGGGAGGAAAAGGGGGAGGGAGGGAGGGAGAGAAGTGAGACCAGAGGTGATGGCAGGGAGGTAAAAAAGACTGACATGGAAACAGACCGGCAGTGAAAGCAAATACGAAGGAGACAGTTAGTCAAGGTTAGGCACGGCTCAACGTCAGGCAAGTGGGTCAGAAATATACTCGCCCCTTTACAAATTGTTGTACTTATCAGGAGTTATCAAATTATAACAAAAAACAAAATGAATTGTCATGTTTAGTCTTTATTGAAGTAAATTAATCTGGAGTTTTGCCCACATCCACTTTAATGGGAGAATCTCAAAATTGGTACGTCCGTCATCAGCTGCAGAAAAAAAAATTTAACTTTAAGTTAAAATTCTTTAACTCTTTTTTTTTTTTACCACTTGCTCGTTTAGGCAAGCGAGATGCTAGATTAACTATCCCGCCAGGGCGCTTGTACTTGCCCTGGTCAAGCAGGCGATCCTTTACTGTTGAGCCCTGTTAGGGAGAAAGACAAAAATAACGTGGAGATGGAGTTGCGGAGAGAGATTGTGCGTGAAAGTCCGAAATAATCGGTGTGTGTGTGTGCAAGCGAGACGAGTGTTTGCTGAGTGAGGAAGAGCGAGAGGAAGAGAGTGTGACTGAGAAAGGTGGCATTGAAGGAAGAGGAGGACTTGAAGGAGGGCGAGGCGATAGAAAGACTTGTTGTCTGTCCTTTTGATCTACAAAGAGAGCCACGGGCTGAGAAACAGGAGGAATGTGAGAGGTTGAGACACGTTTAAAGTTACCCTCCACTGGCTGTGTGTGTGTGTGTGCGTATATTTGTGCATGTGAGTGAAATAGGGCTGGTCAGCATCGGGATGTATGTTTGCGTTAAAATGCATTAGAAAACTCTTTTTTTATAGACTCGTATGTTCTCACACCTTAATTCATGATTATTGTTATTTTTGAATGCACACTTTGTTTATCGTTTGTAGATAATCACAACTATGCACAGTGTCTCACACAAGCCATTCAAACCGTCTCTGTGCCATCTCTGTGCCATCTCTGTGCATGTAACCGTTTTTTTTTCTCCGTGGTGACAAAATAGGTTTCGTGTGTCCCGCCGTTTTTCCCCACTCTCCCCTCCCGTCCCCGGGAGATGAGAGGAGAGCGACAGAGAGAAAGGGGGTGGGGGGGAGGCGGAGGGGAGGCATTCCATAGGCACGCCAAGACATTCCGAGGGAAAACCATCCCAAATATTTCCCACTGTGTGTGGCGAAGGGCTTCGTGTCTCCTGTTACACGCACACATACGGTTTCAGAAAGTACTGAAAGGGAATACACACACAGCAGCCTGAATGTCCATCTCCTTTCTCTGTCTGTCTGTCTGTCTGTCTGTCTGTCTGTCGAGGATCCAAATCGGGAAAGGCCATTGTGACTGTTGTGTCACTTCATTGTGTTGAGTTTATGAATAATAATGTTTATGAATAATCATGAGCGCAAATATTAAGCTGTAACTTATTCTGTGGAGTGAGATGTCGCCTCTTTGAGTCGTAGATTATCAGAAATATATGAAAGTATTGCTGTGTGTGCTTCACTGGAAATCACTGTCGCCATGAAAGGGGAACAGTGGCTCACACTCATTAAGAAGTCCTATATGCAAAGGTAAATATAAGTCACATTTATTATAATATACAGATGTATTCGATTAATAATCAAAGCCAATCATTAGGCCTGGCTGATGAAATCACCATCACAATATCATTTTAATATACATTGGGTACGGAAAGTATTCAGACCCCTCTAAATTTTTCACTCTTTGTTTCATTGCAGCCATTTGCTAAAATCAAAAAAGCTCATTTTATTTCTCATTAATGTACACTCAGCACCCCATCTTGA